ATGCATTGATTCTCTTTTTGGTTATTAAATGTTTATTCATGATATGATAATGAAATATGGCAGGACTTAATTTATGGCAGGACTTAATTTGGGACTTTATTAGTCCTGTTGTCTGTGCCTTCAATTTCTTATTGTAAAACTAATAAAAAAAAATAATGGTGATTAGTGTTACATTAAATAAGTGTACTTGATTCAAATTTTGTTTAATATGTGAGCCAAAGCTAGATGTGATGTAGTCTAGATCTGAGGCAGTAACATAGCCAATGCCACCAGTCCAATGAGTGGATATGTTGTCTCTCTAATTTATACTGGCCCGCATATGTACCCCATTGCCTGATGGCAAGTGGATTTTATTCAGGGCAACCAATTTTCATGTCCAACTTGCCCTGAGGGCAAGTGGTCAAAAAAGTTAAGTTACACCACTGATGCTGTATACAAATTATATACCTGAAAGGTAACTTACATCATATTGTGTCATTTAAATACTAATACTTGTATTCTCACAGTGTATTAAGATATACAAATGCACTTGTGATGCCCAAAGAATTGCCACAAAAAAACCCATAAACCACAAATCAGTCAATTTCAGTAGGGCACACTGGGGCACATTGCAGCTCAATGGGTTAACTAGAGACATTGTCAGATTTTGGTTAATAACCATAATTGCAAGAGGTCTGTACAGTCTGTAACAATAAGTAATTCAGGAATTCACACAATTCTCAGTTAAATGATTATCGGATTTCATGTTAAATGATTATCGGATAATGTTGAGCATCAAGAATATATGTATAATATCCTTCATACATTTATAATAATATTCAGGCTAAATATCATAGTTATTTTTTTATGTACTATAGTTGTACTGTATCAGGTATAAAGATACGAGGTGAAGCCAAGTATCTTTAGGTCTGATAAAGCATACACTGCAAATGTTTTAAATTGCTCAACTGATGGTCACCAACAACAAATAGTACTTTATTACAAGGCGGCAAAATGTATTTAAATTAAAAGAGATGAATAATCTTGTCACTTGATACATTTGACACCAGGTGTCTTGTATTTGTCCATAAGAGACCCCTTGTTATAATGTATCATGTTTCGAGAATGAGTTCAATTTTGATATTTGTTGTTGATCTGAGCAAAATATTGATTTGATGCACACTACTGAGGCACACAGTATTGAACAGTCAATTGTGGTGAGTGATGCTGAACTGCCTGTTGTATGTTGTGAGTGATTTTGAGCGCCTGTTGTGATGAGTGACACTGAATTGCCCCAATTGTGGCTCAGGAAAAAATGTACCTGCTGACTTGTCAAATAATCTCCTTAAATAATGTTATGGGAAGTAATTTGTGTAATTGATTACAAACAAAAACAAGGGCTTGTTAACAGTATAATGAGGAAATTAATTCCCTCTCATTATATTATTCAGCCTTGATAAAGCATATGGAGGCTTTCTGTCTGATTTGACCCTCATGCATGTAATGGTTTGGGAATGCCTGATCATTAAGATCACAACATTTGTTTTGAAGCTTGGCCTTTGAAATCTAAACCCAAAGCACTATATGTGTGTTCACAATATGTTCTTGCGATAAGAATGAAAATCAAATAAAATATTTCAACTCAATTAAATTCAGGAAATGTTAATTAACCATGGAGGTCAACCAGGTTATTACTCAGGGCATATGGCTAACATAAGCATTTAAATTCCAAGTGCATACGATGTTGACATTCCTTGTTTTTCAGACATTGTTTGGACCTTGTACTCCCTTTAACTGTTTATAAATATACTGTATGATATTGACATTTGCAAGAAAAATCTATTGTGGCAACAATAACTATTAAATGTTTTGATGATCATGGATATGGTGTATTGAGAGTCCATATTATTAAATTAAAGTGATTTTACATATCTGTTTCACAAACGAGGCAGCAATTTCCTTGCGACAGTAATTCATAGTATAAATACTTCTATCGATCCATTCGACCCTGTTGCTTTGTCTATTTAATAGATCTCCTTTACAGCTCAACCAAGGTTCTCAGAGCTAATTTGAAGACAATTTCAGATTTATTCAATATTATTGGAAGAATTTTAACAGATTTTTTCATTTTAAAATAGATTTTTGTTTTTTATTTGTCGATTTCGCTGTTTATGCAATATTGACGAATATATTGTAGCTAAAGCCTCTGAGCTAAAGTGATCCGCGATCGCACCCCCCTGTATAGTATTTGCTCCGATATATCACGTGACAAAATAATCCACAATTTGTGGATTATTTCACCAGCCTTTACCAGGGCCTTTGCTGCCCTTCGCCTCCTTCCTGAAAAGGCCCTGGGGACGAGGTTGGCATTAATGTACCTGAGCCTTGTCCTTAGAATGACGAACCTTGTTCTCAGTGTGAGGAACTTTGTCCTCGGAGTAAAGAACCTTGTCCTCAGTGTGAGGAACCTTCTACTCAGAGTGAAGAAACTTTTCCTCAGAGTGAAGAACCTTGTCCACAGAGTGAAGAACCTTGTCCTCAGGGTGAGGAACCTTGTACTCAGAGTGAAGAACCTGATCTTCAGTGTCAGGAACATTGTCCTCAGAGTGAAGATCCTTTCCCTAAGAGTGGAAACCCTTGTCCTCAGAGTGAAGAACATTGTCCTCAGAAAAAAGAACCTTGTCCTCAGAGTAACGAACATTCTTCTCAGAATGAAGAACCTTGTCCTCAAAGTGAGGTACCTTGTTCTCCGAGTGAGAAACCTTGTCCTCAGTGTGAGAAACCTTGTCCTCAGTGTGAGCAACCTTGTCCTCAGAGTGAAGAACCTTGTCCACAGAATAAAGAACCTTGTCCTCAGAGTGAAGAACCTTGCCCTCAAAATGAGAAACCTTGTCCTCAGAGAGAAAAACTTTGTCCTCAGAGTGAGGAACCTTGTCCTCAGAGAGTGAGAAACCTTGTCCTCAGAGTGAAGAACCTTGTCCACAGAATAAAGAACCTTGTCCTCAGAGTGAAGAACCTTGCCCTCAAATTGAGAAACCTTGTCCTCAGAGAGAAAAACCTTGTCCTCAGAGTGAGGAACCTTGTCCTCAGAGGGTGAGAAACCTTGTCCTCAGGGTGAAGAACCTTGCCCTCAGAATGAAGAACCTTGTCCTCAAAGTTAGAAACAATGTCCTCAGAGTGGGAATCTTGTCCTCAGAGTGAGTAACCTTGACCTCAGAGTGAAGAACCTTGTCCTCAGTGGGAGAAACCTTGTCCTCAGAGTGAGAAACCTTGTCCTCAGAGAGAAAAACCTTCCCCTCATGGTGAGGAACCTTGTCTTAAGATTGAAGAACATTGTCCTCAGAGTAAAGAACCGTGTCCTCAGAGTGAAGAACCTTGTCCTCAGAGTGAAGAACCATGTCCTCAGAGTGAAGAACTTTGTCCTCACAGTAAAGAACCTTGACCTCAGAGTGAAGAACCTTGTCCTCAGAATGAAGAACCTTGTCATCAGAGTAAAGAACCTTCTTTTCAGAATGAAGAACCTTGTCCTCAAAATGAGTTACCTTGTCCTCAGAGTGACAAACCTTGTCCTCAGACTGAGCAACCTTGTCCTCCGTGTGAGGTACGTACCTTGTCCTCAGAGTCAGAAACCTTGTCCTCAGAGTGAGGAACCTTGTCCTCCGTGTGAGAAACCTTGTCCTCAGAGAGAAGAACCTCGTCCTCAGAGAGAAGAACCTCGTCCTCAGATTGAAGAACCTTGTCCTCAGAGAGAAGAACCTTGCCCCCGGGTGAAGAACCTTGTCCTCAGAATGAAGAACCTTGTCCTCAAAGTGAGAAACCATGTCATCAGAGTGAGGAATCTTCTCCTCAGAGTGAAGAAGCTTGTCCTCAGGGTGAAGAACCTTGCCCTCAGTGGGAGGAACCATGTCCTCAGGTGAAGAACCTTGTCCTCCGTGTGAGGAACCTTGTCCTCAGAGTGAAGAACCTTGTCCTCGGTGTGAGGAATATTGTTCTCACAGTGAAGAACGTTCACCTCAGAGTGAGAAACCTAGTCAACAGAAAGAGGAACATTTTCCTCAAAGTGAGCAACCTTGTCCTGAGTGCGAGGAACCTTGTCCTCAGAGAGAAGAACCTCGTCCTCAGGGAGAAGAACCTCGTCCTCAGATTAAAGAACCTTGTCCTCAGAGAGAAGAACCTTGTCCCCAG